CCCAGGGATGCTGAGCCCTTCCAGCCCCTCCTGGCTCCGCAGCCTTGCCCCAGGCGGCTGGGTCGAGGGGTGGTTTGGACCAGATATCTTTTAGGGAGGGATAAACGGGTCTGGTCCTGTTGTGGGCTGCGATTTGATCTCTGCCTGGCCCTTTGGCCCTCCTCTGTGGCTTTCCTGAGTTGGCCCAGCAGGAGAGAGCTCTGCCAGACTCAGCAGATGCCAAGGGTGCTCCTCTTCTTCTAGGTGTTGCCGTGTTTGCCTGGAAGGGGGAGTCAGAGGATGACTTCTGGTGGTGCATTGACCGCTGTGTTAACGTAGATGGCTGGCAGGCCAACATGGTAATGAACCTTCTTCCAGCCCTTCCTCCTCCTGCGTGGAGTGGTCACTGGGTGCACCTCACCCTTCCCTCCCTGGGGCTGTTCCTGGGAGCCTTCTGGGGCTGCCTGGGCACCTGCTGGCTTTTGCAATGTCCTCTGAGCCCCCGTTAAACTGGGGGTCCTGCAGAACGGTAGCTGGCGCTGGGTTGAGGGCAGCAGTGGGGGTTGCTGGAGCTGCAGAGACGATGTCCTGAGTTGGTCCAGCCCGATGGCACGGCGGCATCTCCTGCCAGAGCTGCCAACCAGCCGAGAAGCCGCAGGACCTCTTTTTCCCCCAGGGTCAGCCCTACAGGAGCTGCCCCAACTGGTCCTCTCTCGGCACAGATCCCACCCACCCCCTCCCAAAGAGAGGGGGGGGTGTGTGTCTCCACGGGGGACCTTTCCCTTGCTGAAAGCAGACGACACCTCTCACTGCCTCGATGCAGGGTCCGTGATCGCTAACGATGCGATAGCCCGTGGCAGCGGACCGTGACAGCTCCCGCAGCCTTTCCTCTCGACTGTTTGCTTTCAGGGCATGAATGTTGTGGCGTCCTTCTGATCTCAGCCTGTTTAGTTAGTGCTGCCTGTGGTCACGTTTCCAGGCTGCAGAGCAATAGCAGGGGCAGAAAACCCTGTTAGGATCCGTCAGCTCCACGCAGGGGGTAAGAAATCCTCCGTGTTTTGGAGGAGACCCCGAGTTGCTGGCAACGAGGGGAACCCAGGAGTCCTGGCCCCCAGGCCTCTGCCCCAACAGCCCTCCATCAGTGCCTGAAGATACTCTTCATCTCTTTTTTTTTTTTTTTTTTTTTCTTTCCCCATCCTGTCCCCAGCAAGTGCTTTTCCCAGTGGAAGGCCTGACTGCTCCGTGTTCTTCCTTGCCTGTTCTCTAGATCTTGGATGATGGTGGGGACCTGACCCATTGGGTTTATAAGAAATACCCCAACGTATTCAAGAAGATCCGAGGGATTGTGGAGGAGAGCGTGACCGGCGTGCACAGGTAGGAAGTTTGGGAAGGCTGGTCTGGAGGTCTCTTACTGGGTTGCTGCTCTCTGCTCTGACCATCTGGAGGTCTCTTACTGGGTTGCTGCTCTCTGCTCTGACCTGCCTCTGTCCTCTTCCAGGCTGTACCAGCTCTCCAAGGCCGGGAAGCTGTGTGTCCCAGCCATGAATGTGAACGACTCTGTCACCAAGCAGAAATTTGATAACCTGTATTGCTGCCGGGAATCCATCCTGGACGGGTGAGTCCAGCCCTTCTCCCCTGTCCGCACCGTCACCCTCACACCGGTGGGTTTGGCTCCGGTTCCTCTGGAGCAGAGATCGGGCCCTTTGCTGCTTTGCCCTTGCTGTGTGCTTGCAGGCCCTGGTTTTGGGGGCGCTGCCCTGTGCCGTCTGCGGTGTGCGCTTGACTAATCCCAACACAGGTCTCTCTCTGTCCCCCAGCCTGAAGAGGACCACGGATGTGATGTTTGGAGGGAAGCAAGTGGTGGTTTGTGGTTATGGGGAGGTGAGTTTTTCGTGAAGCGGCGGTCGGTGGAGCTGTGAGTCAGCCTCCCCCCTGAGCCATCCTTCCCCTGAGCTCAGCATCCTGCTGCTTCCCTCTGCAAAGACCGCTTGCCCTTGGTACAGCAGTAGAGCAAACCTGGCGAGCGATTACCAGGGAGATCTTGCTAGGACCTGCTGGCAGGCTGGAGAACCAGCATCAGATTTCCCAGTTTGCCTGCAGATTAGCTGGGTTGCAAGTAGGACACTTGCTGGGAACACTGGCCTGAATTCTAACTACCCATGGGTGCTCCCATCTGCTGTCCCTGGACTGAGTTCAGCCTCCAGCCCGGCTGTCACCCAGCCTGTGACAGAGGAGGCAGCGGGGCAGGCTGCATCACGCTGGTGGATAATGTTCTGGCAGAGGGGAATCGTATCACGAACTTGTGAATGATTCTGCCCTGGAAAAAAAAACACCTTCCCTCCATCTGTGCGCTGTCTGCGTGGGTGTTTATCTTCCCGCGCTGCGAAGGGCCTGGCAGTAGATGCAAATGCTCTTCCCGGCAGGAATATGCTCACTAATTTATTTAGACACCAGTGGAGCCCAGCTCTGCTCGACCAAGAGGCTGCGCTGGCTCTCGCCCAGGCGCTCCGGGGTGGCGTCTGATTCTCCAGCCACGAGTTGTTGTTGTGTTGTCCTGAGTTTCATGAGGCTTCTTCAAAACACGGGAGTCCTTCCACCCTCGCTGGTTTCCCCTTTGGATGTGGGTTGGGGTCTCCGTTTGCCCTGCCTGGCTGTTTTCAGTAGACCCGAGGTCAGAACTGGGCAGTAAGCGAGGGTGGCTGTGGAGATGTTTCTTGCCCAGCAGCATCTTGCTGGTCAGAAAACAGGGCTGAGCTTTAGATTAGCCAGATATTAGTGTGGGTAAGTGGTGTGGAAAGCTGGACTTCAGCTGAATTGTGTAGTGAGGAGAGGGATAGAGTCAGAGATGCTGTTACAGGAGCTCTGCTCTCCCCCCTGCTGAGGCAGGGAGCGTGGGGTGGAGGATCTGTCCCCTGATCAGTGCAGGACGGCTCCGAAGGCCAAAGAAACCCTTTGGCTTAAAGGCAAGGGAGGGAAGCGCGTGCTCATCCAGACTGGCTTCGTTCTCTTGGATGAGAGCTCAGAATGGCTCCCGTGATGCTGGGGGCTGCTCAGCCTGCGAGCGTGTTGGTTTTGGAACGCTCCTGCCCGCTGGTGGCCGCGCTGGAGGGCTGGTGGCCTTGGAGGGGGGAGCGGGGCTTACAGCAGAAGTGCCACTCGCCAGGTACATCGCTGAGCCGCTCCTGGCGTCAGGCAGATGGCTGGGGTGAGCATCTCCCCGCCTGGGAGAGGCTCAGGCTGCTTTAGGGAAGGGCTTGTAGCCCTCGGCGCGTCCCGTGTTCGGCTTCACGCTGGCGCCTTGCCTCGGCAGGTCGGCAAGGGGTGCTGCGCTGCTCTGAAGGCCCTGGGAGCGATCGTCTACGTCACGGAGATCGACCCCATCTGCGCTCTCCAAGCTTGGTAAGATGTTCCGTGCCGCTCCTGAGCGTCTCCTCGTCTGCTCTCTGGCCTCCTTTAAACCCTGACGGAGGCTGAAACGGAGCCAGGAGGATCTGTGGCTCGTCTCGGAGGATGTGCATCGTGGGGGGGGTGTGATGGGGAAGGCCTGGGGCAGCTTTCAGGGCTGGTTCAGTGGTGCGGTACCAGGCGGTAGGCACCTGCCCCAGCTGGCTTGGGAAGGCTGCTCGAGGGTTCCTGCAGGGCTGGCCGAACGCTCCACGTGTCCCCCGGCTCCTCCAACATTTGTGAGAGCGGATTTGAAGCCGCGTCCTTTGCACAGCCCTTCCTCACGCATCTGGCGTCCTCGGGGGAGTGGAAGGACAGCCTGGCTGCTGTGGGAGCAGTTCGGAGCTGCTGCAGCAGGACAGCGCTGAGATTCCCTCCTGGCTGGAGGTGGAGAGGGAACAGGCTTCTCCTCCTCCTCGTGGGTACTTCCCCTTTTTTTTACCAGCATGGACGGATTTCGGGTGGTGAAGCTGAGCGAAGTGATCCGTCAGGTGGATGTCGTCATCACCTGCACAGGTAGGGATGGAGAAAGTCGTGGGTGAGTCTTGGGGCAGGCTGAGAAGGAGCAGTCGTTCCCAAGTGGGTTTCCTGAGGGCTCGGGGGGGAGCTGGGGAGGGAGGACGCTTCGTTGCCGTGTGCCGCTGGTTTTGCAAGAGCGATAGCTGGCAAGAGCTTTTCCTCCTCCCTCCCAGTCTGCTATTTGGCACCGTCCTCCTCAGCCCCTGGGAGAAGGGACATCACACCCCAGGGGTATTTTGGGGTCTGCTAGAGCCTGATTAATTCCTGGGGCTACAGATCAGCACTCATCCCGTGTGTTTCCCTCTTGTCACAACCAGGAGGGCTCTTGTCCTGGTGGCAGCTGATCTGCTGTTGCTCCAAGCTGAGCTTCTCCGACTCCAGTGCAGGGAAGGAGAAATCCGAAGGTTCGTGTTTCCACTGCCTGGGGTTCATCTGTGCCCTCTCTGCCCGCAGGAAACAAGAACGTCGTGACCAGAGAGCACCTGGATCGCATGAAGAACAGCTGCATCGTGTGCAACATGGGCCACTCCAACACCGAGATCGACGTGGTGAGTGCCGGCGGCCTCGGCGCCTGCGCCCGCCCTGCCGTCCCCCCACTTGTGACCCCAGCCTCTTCCTCCTCCTCCTCCTCCTCCTCCTCCTCTTGCAGACCAGCCTCCGGACCCCAGAGCTGACCTGGGAGCGGGTCCGCTCCCAAGTGGACCACGTCATCTGGCCGGATGGGAAGCGGGTGGTGCTGCTGGCTGAGGTGCGCTGAGAGCTGCGCCACGACGCTGCTTTGAACCTCTGTCAGGAAATCCCTGCGTGCCCAGGGCTTGTGACAGAGATTTAACCAGGTGGAAAGGTGCCAGGAGGGGGTTCAGAGCTCAAGAAAGGGTTTCTTAATTTTTTTTTTTTTAACTTTTCTTGAGGCAGAGGCGGTATCATGTACCACATGCAGCCCCAGAGGTGCCATCTGGCTCCGTTCTTCTGAGCCGGGAGCCATCCCAATCAGCCAAACGCCGTCTGCTTCTGGCTTTGGCAGGGTTTCCCACGCAGCAAACCGGCTGGGTGTCTCCTCTTCCCACTTGAGCTCTCCTGGCTCTTTCCAGGGACCACAAAATCTCCCTGCCTTAAAGCTAAGGGTTAGGGTGGAAACTGAGGCGGAGTTTGAATGCCCTGGTCACGTAGGTGGCCCTTGAACCGCTGTGCTGTGGTTGCCCCTGTCCTAGGGAAGGGGGATGGGGGTGAATCCTATCTCGAGACTCAATTCTCTTTGGCCTTGGGGGCAAGTTCAGCTCTGCAGCCTCCTCCTGCTGTCTCCTAGGGCCGCCTTCTCAACCTGAGCTGCTCCACAGTTCCCACCTTTGTGCTCTCCATCACAGCCACCACGCAGGTCCGTATGCCGCAGGGCCGGGGTGCGAGGGGTGGAGGATGCTTTGGGGCCTTGCATGAACCTTGGGGGGAGGGGGTGGGGAACTGTTTGGAAGAAGCTGGGAACACTCCGTTGGAGGGGTCCTTGGGATGGCACTGGTGCCAGAGATACCGTGGCCACCACCTCTTGGCCGGGATGTGGTTAATGGCGTGAACTTACTGCTTTGGTTACAGCTGGCAGAGAGCTTTTGAATGAGCCAGGCTTGATGGCAGAGCCCCTGCTGTGCTGTAAGCCGCTGCAGAGCTCCCCTAGCACCCGTTGAAGCTCACCTCAAAGCAAGGCTTTGTTTTGTCTTTGGACTCTTTGATTTCTCCAGCACAAATCCCCACCCCTGGGGTGGGTTTTGGGGATCTGGAGATCAGTGGTTAATACGCTCCCCAGCATCAGGGCTGGCTCAGCTGGGCGAGCACGGCTCGTGGCTTGCACTGTTTGTCGTGACTTTGCCTTTCCAAAGAAAACGATGATTAAATTTGGCTCTGCTCCGAGATGGGCC